GATCAAATCTGCTGACTTGTGTAAAATGAGATGTTTTCCTTTTTATCTTCTGTTAATAAATCCATAACACAAACAGCTTTTCTGACATTATTTAAAACATTAGATAGATTATATAAACTGTAAAATATTAGTAATAATAATTGGATTAATATTAATAGTTGTAATGATTTCTACATCGTCAGTCCTTTTTTTCTGATCTGTTGTCAACATGTACAGGAATGGGAGATCTTGAGTCTTGACCGTTTAGCGTTAGCCGTTAGCTTCACCAGCCGATCACATGGTCACTTTGTTTCTGAGCTCCAGCTGTTCTAGAACCTCCTTGAGTCAGGCCCAGAGTGGAGCCCCCTGAAGGCTGCAGATATGATAATTCAAACATTTTATTCATCGATGCGCTCTGCCGGTAAACTCTGTGACACAAATCGGATCAAATCTTTAAAATAAAAAACTTTGACAGCTTGTGATTAAAGATGGAGACTCTATCATGATTGTGTTTTATTTTAAGCAGCTGAGGGTTTTATATTTGCCAACATGGATACAAAAATCCCCAAAGACAGTCTAAACCCGGTGTGTCCCTCTGTGGGTCTGCAGGGGGCGCTGTGACGGACCGCAGACATGGACACCACCACGTCCATCAAGATGACCACGCTGGCCATCCAGAACCTGTTCAGCTACGTGGAGGAGGAGAACCTGGCCGCCCTGAAGACTCACCTGGACCGCTTCAAGGAGGTGGACGGACGCAGCGACGTACGTGAAGCTCTGAGTGCAGCGTTTTGTTTTATTGTGTTACCAGAGTTCCCGCAGATCCTTAAAAAGTCTTAAAAGACCTTGAATTCATCAGTCTAAAAATAAGGCCTTAATTAGCCTTAAAATGTCTTAAGTCAATCTCTCAGAAGTCTTAAAAATGTGAATACGTTGAAAAAAGTAATTCGTCTCAAATATTAAAGTAATTGGTAACATTTGTTTCTTTTTTTCACACGCAGTTATTCCCCTTTGACATCACTTCCTGTTGCTTCACATGCAAATATCTCAACAACCGTCTTTCTGAGCAACGTGAAATTCATTTTCTAACATGTTAATAATGTTGTCTTTCCAAAAATACATTCGTATTTTTTTACAAGAATTTTATGTCACAGGCACTTTAAGGTTTCATCTGCAGCAAGCTGGGGTTAAAACCCCACCGTGAGTCTTAAAACTCCAAATTTTAGGTTGTTAGAGGATTTCCAGAAATTAAATGAAGTTTAAAAGTGACTGCTAAAATTATTTTTTGCTGTATTTGATTAAAAAGCAGTTAGATACGGATAAAAACAATTGGTCTATTAGCAATATTTGAATACTTCAACCAAAAATACTTTGATTCATGAGTTTCTGCCACAGTTTTTATTTTTTTGTCATTTGTGTTTATTATGAAATTGGTCTTAAATTTTATTTCATTAAAAAGTCTTGAATGTAACTTGCCTTAAACTGTAGAAACCCTGGTTACCAGCTAGTTTGATGACGACAATAAGACAAAATAAAGTTTATTTTATATTTTTTTAGTTTAATAAATGTGTTTCTCTAATTCTAACAAATTATCAAGTAACTGCTCTGGTTTGCAAGTTTTCACATCAAAATTAGTAAAATAATCAATAGTATTATTA